TTGAACCTTTTCTACATATTCATCAATAATCCTTGCTCTGTCGATATGGCATATATTGAAAGAAACAATTGTCAAACTCGTAAGTAATAAGAAATATTCAGAATACGAAATTACTAAAAATGAGTACCAAAAAAATAATATCAACAAACTAAATATCAATACTATACAGTTGTTTCAATCGGTGAGCTTTTACGCAAAAAAAGTGTATTGAAAATTATTTTTAAATTTAATTATGAGGAAATTGACTTTAATCAATATTTTCAAAGTTGAGTTATCGTGGAACTAAATGTTATATAACTCAAACATTATTCCACAATTTTTAATCAAAAATATTCAAGAAGCAACTATCTACTTCAAAAGTTTCAAGAAGATATCGATTAAAGGAGCACATAAAAAATGCAGACCGCAAAAAAATTGGTTCATTTTCGGGGCCACGGCTAAGCTTTTGGGGACACGCTAAACACGAGAGAAGAAAAGATCTGTGCAACTATGCTCTTACCCTGATATTATATAAGTAAAAAACGAGGGTAATGGCGTAGGCGAGGATCGAGAGTGCAGTGCGGGAGAAACCGACTCGAAATAGGAGGACGGAGTTCACGCGTGTGCAGCGCGCACAACTCCTGGAATTCGAATCGAGCTCGCGAGCACATAAGAGCGGGTCTGTGCAACTTAGTCTCGTTGTGTACGTGGTTGTGCGAGACCGAGGTCACACATATACGCCTTTATTATACCAACGACTCCCAAGCCATAAGTGTATATAGCCCCATATATATATAATACACATATAATACACATATAGCATACGTAGCATGTGTAGCCGTGTGGACGGTCGGCGTGACCCCTGAGATAAGCCTTTTACGCCCTAATGAAAGGGTACGCGTGCAGCGTTTGTATGCGCGCGCGCGCGAGTCGGAATTTGAGGGAGTCAAGATCTTCGCTATTCTCCCACAGAGCTCGCCCACACATGTGCATACGCGCAGGCGCACGCATATACACACCGCAGTCACTCGCTCACACAACACACACACACACACACACACATACGCCCGCGCGTGTATACGTGTATGGGGATATTATACGATGCGTTCGGTCAATCTAATCGGATACGCCAACTAATTCTCTCTTCCTCGTGCATTGGCGCGTCGTTACTTTTTCATCGCTCTTTTTTTTTCATTTATTCGCGATTAAGGCCTAGCTTTGGGCAAGAGCCTGCCATTGAAGCTACCACCGAGCATTATTCGACTTATGAAGAGCAATTCCAAAGAAAAGCTCGGAAACGCTCTGCGTTGGCTTAATTGTCAAAATGAATAATAACTATTAGCTTCACTGACGATAATTTTTTTTATTTAAAGGGCACAACTGTATGGAATACGACGATTGAACATTTTTTGATAAAAATTTGTTGAGGGCATATTCTAGACATTTTAGCAATTGGTGTTAGAACAATTAAAAATTATATTAGCAAGTCAACCAAAAAACTTTCGATTCCGAGTTATAAATCAAACTTTTTAGAAAGTAATAAATCATTCAACGTGCTCCATTCACAGAAATTGTTGAATCCATTTAAAAAAATGTCATTTATATATTATTTGATTTTTTCATATCCGATTTTAACACGCGTATGTCGCCTTGAGTAACATTAAATTGAACGATCACATTTCAAGCAATCGCTTCATAAATTATGATTTTTCCAGTTTTATCTACATTTTTAATACTTGTAGAAGCTTCATAAATTTCATTCGAAGGTTGTATTGATCTCAAGTAGCTAATTTGCTGGATTACTTGACTTTCTTCGAGCAGTCGTAAAACTTGGCACAAATCACATCGAGCTGACAACTAAACTGCTCGATAAAAGCAATAAGATTTTGTTTGCTTTTAATTAGTTCAAGCTTTAATGCAAATATAATAAAAGTTAATGAAATTTTGTACAAGGGAAATTCATGGTTCAAAGATCTTGCAACTTGCCTTACTGTTTACCTCTCGATCGTCGTTAAAATTCGCCATACATTTGTGTTGAGTGTGGAATAAATTGGCAGTAAAAACCGACCCCAGTCAATCTCGATCGTTCAATACTTTGCAATAAAATTGCAGGAAAAAAGTTCCACGCAATTTTTTGGGTATTTGCACGTACCTTTTAAAAATTATTGTGTTTACAGAATTATCTTCATTATCAAGCCGATAATCATTTAACACTGGTTTTATTTTTTTTTAAGAACTGCTCGTGGATTTCCAAATTTCATCATGAGGCCATACACATTTTGTACTTATATACTCTTACTTAACACGATTATTGATCTCAAATAATTCGTATTTGAATATTGAAAAGTGTAAAATATTATTTTCCAACTAATGTTTTCATTTGAGGCTAAAAAAACTCATATTTTAGACCATGAAAAATATTTTATTTTATAACTTAACTTTATCAAATGATCATCAAATGACAGTAAGTCGAAACCTTGATAAAATTGACAAACGACAAAACTTTATCCCTCGACCTTTCAGCTACAGATGTTTATTTAGATTCCTCATATGAATTGAAATACAATAATCATGAGGAAAATAAATATCCCCCTCACAAAATGTTTTGCGAGGAAAATATTATACTTTAATAATCAATTAATTCGACCAAGGATAATCCAATATGATTTTTATGATTACAACAACATTCTTACATCTGTCTTGATGATCTTAACGCATAACATATTAACTCATTCTTAAATTATGATTTTTAATCATGAAACAAAATTTCAGATTGGTGGAGGATTTTTAAACATTAAAAATTTTTGCTTACTATTTTTATCTATAACTTTATTATTACTCTGATGTAAAAGAATCATCCATTCCAAAACGGGATATTTTTTTCTTTCATCGAGAAAAAAATGATAAGGAAAAATCCCCAGGAACATTAAGATTGTTAAAATAACCATGAAAATTGTACTAATCGATTATTCCACCATTTTTCTAATGTATAAAAATAATCGTAGATATACATGACAATGGTATCATAGTACGCGGTAAGTAGAGAGTACAGAAGAGTATATAGAGGTGCGGCACTTAACACATACAAAAACTACTGCGGATGTCAAGATTTTTGTACGCGTGGATATCGCGTTGCGTAAACGGTGAGTTTTCTCAGACTTCAGCAAGATAAATATAAAGATGAGCGCTTGAGTTAGGAAGCGATTACCTTTCCACCTTTTGAAGCGAGTCATCAGCACAGCAGGTAAAAGGAAGCGAGAGCAAAAGCGAAATCGCTTCGGGATACCGAGAACCCCGACCCATTCATTATTGTAATTAAAACCTTTCCTGGCGACTCGACTAACTTAAGAAGCTCGTGCATCCCTTGTAAATCCCAACCGTGTAGATGTATGGGAGTAACAACAAATCTGCCATCCGCCTATTTTCAAGCCAAGCAGAAATAATATTCTTTGCCAACACCTCTATGCATATAAGATTTACTACATACCTGGATACCTCTATAATACTGTACGGCAAATAAGTGTTAAACTCGATAACAAAAATGTCTTTGGTATTACGCGATCTTACATCAACTGCTTGAATTTTAAAGAAACTTGATAAAAGGTATTCCTAAAACTAACACATGTTTGGAGAGTAATTACTCTTAAGTTTTATGTATTAATCTTCTACACTGCTATTTTTTACCGAGAATCTCATATTTTTATTTACAATTTTGAAACACTTCAGTAGCATGTTAAAGTGTGCATTAATTATTTAATTTTTTATTCAACGAGGTCTCCTATACTTCTGATCAATTATAAATATATTTTTTAATAAATCTTGTGGTTTATTTGATATATTTAAGACATTCAATATTCTTGTACGAATAGTTATTCGCATCTAATTTTTATTAATTGATAAAAGTTAAATCGAATAAATGGATTTTCTCAGAAAATTTATTAAAATTAAGACTCAATGTTGAAAATTTGATACTCTCTATATCTGAAGGTTTAAGAAATCAATTTTTCTCATCTATTTTCTCATCTAGTATATTATTATTAATGTGTCTCTCACTACATAAATTCGATGCTTTCGAGACAAGACGAAGACCAAATGAGCGAACAGAAAACAATAACAAAAACAATAACGATATGTCAAGTATTGCACGTAGTAAACGCTCAATTATGTTTTATAAAATGTAATAAAAATAAGAATATTATTTAAAGTACGCCATGAACTTAGCTGATTAATTCAAATTTTATGATTTTATCAATCCTCACATAAGACTTTCTATTTGTGAAATAGATTAAAATAATTTCAAGTCTTTTAGAACGTGACCACGTTTTTTTTATAAGCCTCTTGTTTTTTTATTTACTGTCTTAAACATAATTTAATTTTCAAAGTACGTAGTATACAAATAACAATCCCTGTAAGAATTTTTCACTTTTGATGCTTATTCTCAATAATCTAAGTTAATTTAAAAATTAGGTAAGCGGAAAATATTGATTTTGATAAAGTAAAAGTTTTCTTTTTATTTCAACCACATATTATATTTATATGATCGTACTATGTTAATATATACCTAGCATAAATTTATAATTATATTATAATAATATAATTATAAATCATGTATGTATATTGTATATTGTATGAATATAAATATAATAATCAATTACAATGATAAAAAATAAATGATCATAACATAATCGTTCAACGATGAAAACATTTATATTTAAAACTATAGAATGCGTAAAAATCTCAATAAATAGATCTCGACTAGGACTCAAAACTTGTAGTTATCTTCCTTGCACCTTATAGCTTTTGGTTTTGCAAATACATATACGATTTACAAATGAATTAAATCAAATAATACTTCAAATAAACCTTACTCTAGACAACGTTTTAAGAGTGAATACGAATACATTTTTATCTCTAGTACTTCAATTTTATACTATGAATTTTCTATATTAGTTCGTCGGCTGCGATTTAGATATCGAGTACATAGCTATTGCAAAGAATTGAATTCAAGATGCAATATATCATTTTTTTAAATAATAGATTTATACGTAATATTTTCGTTTTATTTCAATCTGTACCACTGGGTTACGTTAAAGTATTTGTTCATAATCCAGAGTATTACAGCCAACGATTTATGTATTATATTTCGACTAATACAACGTTTCTTATTACTTTAAACGTAAGTAAATATTTTTTAAATAGCACAATTGCAACAATGAAAGATATTCCATAGGCAGAGTAAGATTTCTCCAAACATCTTCGCAAGGTCTCTCAAAGCTAATGAAGGTCTCTGCGAAGATGTTTTGCCAAAAGTTCATTAGACGTCTCAGAAAATGAAATTTTAAGAAGTTAATTTTTACCCTGCCTCAGACACATATTTAAAACTTAGAAAGTAACACGTACACAACGATTGACAAAACGTCTGTCACCGAGTTCGTAATATTTACAATACAGTAATCACAAAAATGTTCTCGAGTAAACATTTGAGCTTTTACACTATTTACAACTATTTGAAAAGACTTAGATTTGAAATTTTGACAAACATGGAAATTAGTTAACGTCGCATAATTTCATCGATCGTAAATCCTTTCTTGAGTGGCGACGATGATTGAGCTATTTTATTTTTCCTGGAGTTCTGATGGCGTTGATTTTCAAGGACCCGCAAGTCTTGTGGAGCATCTGGATGACTGGACAGATGAGCTTTGAGATTGCTTCGTTGGTTGAAACTGCGCGGGCAAACTGGGCATTTGTGAGGTGACTCCTCCAAGTGGAGAATTTTGTGCACAGCCAAGGTTCGACTTTGACAAAAGCCTTTGCCACAATCCACGCATTTAAAGGGCTTCTCTTTACTGTGTATATATCTGGAGAATAAAAAATATGACTTAAAAGCTGAGCAAAATTTTGAAGTATTCAGCCGCGTTCGTACTCGGTGCGTAAAACGAATCAAACTTACCGATGATCCCTGAGATGATCTTGTCTTCGAAATGCCTTGCCGCAGATATCGCAGGAGTAAGGTCGCTCGTCGGTGTGCGTCCTCTCGTGAATCAGCAGATTGTAACTTTTCGTGAACTGACGTTTGCAGAACCTGCAGATGAATTGCTTTTTCGGTCTTTGGCCAGGTGCTCGTCGGGCGAGAAACGCTGGTGGCGTTGGAGCCAGGTTGGCCACGACAGGCACGTTCATGCCAAGGCGTAGATGTTGCATCTGCGAGTAGGTAGGGAAAGACGGGACGTTTGTTGGACAGCAGCCGCGACTAGCAATGAGCGCGCTCGTGTTTCGAACCCATTGCTCGAATCTGGCTGTCGCTTCTTGATGATGCTGCTGGTAGCGAACGGTCCAGTCCAGTCGGCTGCGCTGCTCCATGTTGAGTTTGGAAGGCGGCGTGACAGGAGGTGTCAGGGGCTCCATTTAAATGAAAAATAAACGAGACGAGAGCGTCCGGAGATGACTGATCATCTGCGAGATCGAACGAGCGCCGTCGAGGATGGTCTTGTACAATACAATCACACAAAACCAGTAGCAGCGGCACGTGAGAATCTTGAAAACTCGAAAATCAATTCACACTCGTATTATTCACACGTACACTTGGGTCGAGCGATGCTCACACGATGTTCACTGCAACGGAATAACTCCGATACTGAATTATGAAACTGTTTTAGTAGATCAGTCGATGGATCGGCGCCCGAGCAGCTCAAACGGACTTGCGCGGAAGCCCCTCCTACGAGAAAAATGCCATTGGCCCTGCCAGTATCCAAGAGGCGGGGCTTACTACCGAGCTGAAGCTCGGCGCTTGTCGCTACTCGCTGCTACCTGCAACATAGCTTCTGGAAAAATTATTTCGTCTCTGCATCCGCGCGTCTTTTGTCTACACAGCTGATGATTAACATATAGAAAGTATATTTATATTTCTTCATCGCCACATCGATTAATCAAATTTGACACACTTTTTTTGAATCTTGCGGCTAGAAATTAATAGAAATTAAATGGTATATAAAAGGTGTTATGAAGATAAAATAATCCGTTCGTTCTTTCAAATGGAAACAGATAGTAAAGCCTTTGGAACAAAGAATGTTTACGAGCAGCTCGAAGAATTCGTATCTGCATAACTCTGAACTCTTTTGAAAGTAATCGATGCAATGGACTGATTTTTATTAATCAAAAGATTAATGTGAACATAAAAAAAAAATATGTTTCACTTGGTCAGCCTTTAAACTCTATCCAATAAGTTCAATTCTTAAATTCAAATAACGTCATAGTACTTTTTAACAAAGTAGACTAGATATCTGCATCGCCGTTGATCCTTGGAGCATCGAAGATTTCATATGCATGCGATATAAATATACTGATATAACACAAGGTGTCAGCTGGCAAGTAAAATTCGCCGTATATAAACGATCGGGCAGTTGAGTAATCGTGCGTCGCCGTAATAAGAATAGCAAGTATCAATGTACAAGATCAAAGGGCCGCACGCGCGCCTTTATACACATATATATTCATATTATATATAGTGAATCAGTTTTCTGCTATGTAACTCCTATCGTATATTTGCTCGGGCTCGACGTCGACGAGGATGTATCCGACTCTAAACATCTGCTTATCGCTCGTGCAATTTTTCGCTCACCGTCTGCACGAGAGCAAAGGATATCAAAAGCAAAGCAATTCTACGCGCTTTGCTTTGGCCGATGAAAGAGTCATCTTTGCCGCGAGTGCAGATCTCAAAGCTCAAATATTATCAAACTTATGTCGTAGAAAAAAAAAATTATTTCCGTTTAAAATCGAATATTTTAATTTTATTTCAAAGTATCAAAAAACTGAGTATCTATAAAAGTTATTCAATGAATGTTACAATCACCGCTATGTGTTTAGTGAATTTTCCACTTCTGAGGTCAATTAAATTATAGCGAATATAATAATTCCGAGTGGGATTCAAGTACAACGGCGGTAAGGGCAAACATAAGTATTATTACTTATATGAAAGAAGAAGCATATCGGTGTTACGTCAGGTGTTGAATTTATCAGTGCACGAAGTATTGCCGGCACGGCAGGGACGAGATAAACTCGCTCACCAATAGCGTATAAACATCCGCTTCGGCTCCGACTGAAAAACAATACGGTTTTTGTACGTACGAACAAATACTTGTGCTACATATTAAATGACAGGCCTGAAATATTCGCTCGGGCACGTCACGACGGGTTGGGCTTGGCAAAAGTTCGGATGTCATATTATACAGCTCAACGATGTATCGACATAGTAGCGAGTACGGGCGAACGTCGAATTTGCGTAGCTCCAGTGTATCGTCGTTTGATTATCTCGCTATAGTATAGAAGTACGCGTCGACGCGAACTGGAAAGGACGCGCCGAGCGAGCGGAGAGTTTGCAGTTTTGCCCGAGGCAGCGAAAAGAGTCGAATAACTCATTTTCCTCGAGCCCCATCATAGAGCGTCGGGGGTTGGGCGGACGTTACGCAGCCTACACGCGCGCTACAGAGCGAAATTCAAAGTGCGCCCCACACGACTCCTCGGTCGAGGTCTGCTGCCGTTGCTGCCGTGTGCTCGCGCCCAAAGCTCCGAACCTGGGAGCGCTCCCGGCTCGAGCGCGCTACCTACCTACGACGACTACCACCAGCTCGCCGAGCCACTACCCCTTTTGACTTTGCGTGCGTGCCAAGGCACGCGGAGCAGCTCGCAAGCCCCGGCGCACTCGTGTGGGTGGGCGCTCGCTCCCCCGTGATACGCGCCAGCTCTAGAATACATCCGGCTTCCTTTGTCGCGTACGCGCGCTGCCGATGATGCTGCCGTTGCCGCTGTATAGCTGCTGCGCGGCGCAAAAAGCTCTCTCCTCTGGCTGCCTTTGCGCCACGGGCGCACAGAACTCCATTATCTCGCCGCCGCCGCTTCCGCTCCCGCTCCTGCTGCTGTCGCTGCTTCTGCCAATGCTGCTGCTGCCTCGCTTCCATCTCGAAACATGAAACGCGTTTGCGAGCTGGCTCACTCGCTCTTCCACACAGATTGCCTCTTTAGAGAAACGCGCAAGCAATTACCTAGCCAGGAATATTATCGAGCCTTGTGTACCGAGTGACGTTTCTCTCTATGCGCTTGCCACATTTATATAACATAAAATGTATAACGTCGCAATGTGTTTTTTAACTGGAAAAAACTGCGCTACTCTTGACGAAACACTCGGATGCCTTATTTGTGCTTTTTTTTTGCCTAATAACGTTTTACCAACGCACTCAAAGTGAAACGTGCCCTTTTTTAAATCAGCAACCGCAGCTCTATACAAGCTTGGACATTTTTTCATTGCTCTACATTTTCAATTTTATTTTACAAAAATATTTGTTTTTAGTATACACTGTATTTACAGTTCAATTTTTTCCGAGTAAAACATCGAACACATTGATGTGAACCTTTTTCAAAGGCAGATTTGAAAAGTTCTCATTGCAATAAAATCTTTTAAAATATTGCCATGCTTGAGATATAATCAAGAGACTAGTAGATGAAAACGAGACTGCATTATGTCGAGAAGTGTTAGAAACGTTTCTCGGGGGTCGTGCTGATTGATAAAATAATGACAGTTCTGTGGGCTTCTGGAGAGCTGCAGCATTGCCGTTCAGAAATTCAACAACCAAGTAGCACAGATGCGTTATCGAACTTTTGAGAGCATATGTCACACAAAAAACATACTGAACTTTCAAGAATCTACATTTTTTGCAGACTTCTTTTCAATTTCTTTTCATCCCATAGCTAGAAAGTTTTAAACTTTTCTGTGAATTAAACTACTGTATAATTGTTTAAATAACGCTGCAGTAAAGAAAATTGTAAATAAGAAGTACGTGCCAAGTGCAACTAAACACATTTCATCTTTGTGCGTAAATTATTATGTAAGCAACTACGGTCTTGAACCTTCGTTTTGATATTCTTGACAGATACTTCACTAGACTCATTGAAGAACAATTTTTTTATATAGTGTAAATCTTTATACAAAGGCAAGTTATTTTGTTTAGCAATGTTTGAGACTCATAAGAAGGTGGATATTTTACTGACACAAAATTGTACGAGGTGTTTACAGGGCCTCTTACAACAGTGTTATGCATAAGCTGTTATTTTAATTCACTCGTGAATCATTTTCATGATAATTTACGATGCTCACTAAAGCCTATGGAAAAATGAATGAAAAAAGTATCAGGCTTGCCCAATCAGCCTTTCACAGAGCACATTTACGTGAAAGTTCATTATCTGTAGACTTTTGAATAATTTAAAGCATATTTTTTAACTAATCGCAAAAAAGGTTTACCGATACCTACCTTCTATCAAAGTATGTATCTAATATTTACCCGTTTGAGATAATAAGTGATCAAAGTAAGTATTTGAATGAATACCTACATGCATGTATGTAAACGGTTTCATCTAAGCTAGATAGAGCCTATCCACATTTTGATGATTTTGACACATCTGTGTTCTCGATACAAACACCTATACGTGCACGTGGAAGAGCTGCTTTTTGTTCATTTCATCCAAGTACGAATAAGCGTTGGTACCAAAAACATGAAGCAGCTGACGATGAATATTTATAAATCGATAGAACAAAGCCTCGATGTGCGACTGGAAAATGATGACGACCATGTTGCGCTTGATTTTACTCGTTTGTCAACGGATTTTTTTTGTAATCGCTCGATGATCGAATCGATGATCGATGCAAGTGGCTGTTCAATTATTACGAAGCCCTTGAGGTCTGCGTCGTGTAAAGCTAACCGCTAACAGATGCCCGAGCCTATGTACACTGTATACGCACGCGGGTGCCAGCCGACGGATTCCCGGTACGCCAGAAGCAGCTTCTGTCACCAAAAAACAAGCCGCAATGTAGCACACTTTAACATATTTCACGTCGAAATTTATGAAAAGGAGATAAGTGAATAGGTGATAGTGATGATGGGCAGGAACGATAGCTTGAACAATCAAACGCTGAGAAAATGTTTGTTTGTCGCGAGATTGTAATGCAGCTAAATAAACTATCCTTCCGCTTTCGGCTTATCAATTTTTCTCACTTTCACTATTGATCACATTCTTTCAAGCGCATTCGCACCTATCGGTACGTATGTTAATTCGTATTTCAATGATTACAATAATGAAGAGCGATAAGTACTATCTCATTGTGTGATAAAAAATCTCCAGCGTAATTCTTACATTTTATTTTTAAATAATTTACTCATGAAAAAAAGTTCTACACAGCTTCTAGACGAAAACAGCATATTTTTCTTGCTATACACTATACCCAACTTTCTCTTCCTTCGGTTACTGATAAAATGTGGCTCTATAGAAGTAAAATATCGTGGTGTACACTATGAAACTCATAGTAGGGGCGTAAAAACATTTTGTGAGGTGATGCATCTTCAAAATTTTTCGAATACATCATTTACTATAATTCTAGATGACACCTGTTTCCTGGAATTTAATAAGGTAAGACTATAAAGAAAACTATTATACAAGAATCACTCAAGCGCAGTCAATGGTGTGAATATAATTACTCGGATGCTACTGAAATCCCAATGAAACAATTAAAAAAAATTGTATGGAGATCCTTATACCTAGACGTTGTTTAGGTAGGTAGCACACAGAGTATGTTT